GCAGGGACGGCGGGGGTGGGGGGGTAAAGCCTTGAAAAGCTGCCCCCGAGGTGTTTCCCTCTGCGCCACTGCAGGGGAAGGAAAGAATTCAAGGCTAGTTGTGGGAAAATAAACTTCAAAACCAAAGTAGAAGGGAAGGGGGTGGTCTAGGGGTTAGGCAGCTGGGTGCAGCTGTGGCTTTGGAGGCCGGGCACTTCCTTAAGGAGTTGGGACAGAGCACCTTTTATATTCAGGACCTGCTAAATCTTATCAACAATTATCCTCCCCAAAGTGGAGAGGTAACTTTTAGAAGGATTTGGGGATTAGGCCAGTCTGATTTGGAGATGATTATAGGTAGATAAGTTCTTCAACAACAAACAACAAAAAAAGCACCTCAGATCAGCTGCAACTAGCACTGTCCCCTCCCTTCATAGGAAAAAACCCAAGAAGTGAACCAGTAGAAGCCTTTGCCAGCAAGAGTCTTAATCTGCAGAAATCTGCCTTGCCAGGCTTTCTGATCTGTGACTTAGGGCATTGCCTCAGCCTCAGCAGATTGGTTTAAGGAAAAATGAAAACTAGGAAAAAAAAAAAAACTTTCCCGTCTGACTTCTTGGGCATTTTCCACCTGTGTTGTGTCTTGTGCTGTGGCTTCTGAACTCCCTTAATGATCCTAAAAGAGCCCCTCGCCAGGAATTCCGAGGGTGGGAGCTGGAAGTTGGGATGCTTTTTCGGAAGGAGGGACCTGCTGCCGGGTCAGGATTTGTTTCTTTTATGCTGCAAATTGTGTTCTACATTTAAACGCATGAGAAAGGGAGGTAATCACCTTTCTTTAGAAATACTTAGGGAGTTGTCCTGTGCTTTCTCCCTTCCTTGTTTCCCAGGTGGACTTTCTCTGATGCCCGCCCCCTGGGACCACGTGTTTGTCCTCCTTTCTACCTTCAGACCCATTTTGAACCCTTATTCAAGTTGCTGCTTTATCAGATCTTTAGTGGCCAGGTCTCCGAGCTTTTGCCAACTTTCACCTCTTTTTCTGCAAGGGATAGGAGCGTTTATTGTGCCCCTGACTCTTGGGCGTTGTGGGTGGGACATTTCAGGAAACAGGGCACACAGGCCTTTTTGCCTCCTTTCCCTCATCTGCAGAAGGAGGGTTTGGTGAGGTTGCTGGGAAAGAGAAACCTACGCAAGATACTGATAGAGAGCAAGCAGGTCTCCTGCCTCTAGTGTTTGTTTTCTAATTTAATTTCAAGTATACAGGGACCCGGGATGATTTGGTTTTTTGAGAGGAGGTCTCGCTATGTAGCCCATCTGGCCTTGAACTCACTATGTAGCCCAGGCTGGCCTCGAACTCACAATGATCCTTCTGTCTCAGTTGCCCCAGTACTGGGATTACAGTTGTGTGCCACCACGCCCCACCTAGCATTTATTGGGCACTCTGAGCTTGGCAGCTTCCCAAGCCCCTGCCTGCAGTACTTCAGATACTCTTTACCTGAACTGTCAGTATGGAGCTAAGGAAACTTGCTCAGAGCACAGCCTGGAGGTCCCCACAGGCTGCTCCAGAGCCCCGACCCTGGTCCACCTTGGCCCTTCCTTCTGGGCCTCTGCAGCTGTTGAATTTTGTTACTCTGTAAGGGAGCCCAGTAAACTGGTTCAGCTGCACGGGACCTTTAGGAGGCCCCCACTCCCTTGACGATCCCCCCTGAGAGTAGAGGCATGAGTGAAGGGAAGGGATGGCAGCGCCTCTCAACCCTCTGCCTCTGCCTCACAGCGATGATAAACAGGAAGGGTCTGAGCTCACCCACCCAGCACCAGGCACTTAGATTGAGCGCTCGGTGTAGGTGCTCACCCCTAACATAATCTCTGAGCCCACCTCACTTCCAAGGGAGCTGAGGAGAAGAGAGGATGTGTTGTAACTAACCCAGCCTCATACCGTAGAGTTATGTTTCTGATCTAAGGTGTCACAGGTTTTGACAACAAATGTTGCTTTTATTTTCTAATTTTTTGCCATGCTGGGGATGGAACTCAGGGCCTTGTGCTTGCCATGCAAGCCCTCTGCTACTGAGGATGCCTGTCCACAGCCTTCCTTAAGTGGCTGCTGTGTTCCGCACACTCAGTAAAGCCCTGAGGCCCTAGGATGAAATTACAGAAACCCACCCAGAAAAAGACCGTGGTCCATTCCCAGAAACCTCTTGGGACCCCACTGACCTCTCCCCGTCCCAGGCACCAAAGAGCAGTGGCATATTCCAGGGTTCTCCATGTTTTCGTCCCCCCACTTTCTGAGCTCTTTCTGGTCCTGGGTAAGCACCCCGTAGTAAGCACAGCCGTTCCAGTTTTGAGGTCCTGACATCCTGTTATTAACACCAACCCTCCTACCCGAATTTGCAAACTGGAACCACGCCGTGTGTGATGTTTACATCTGACCAAAATGTCTAGAAAGGAGCACATAGAACTTTTTGGAGAGCCGAGGGTTAATATGAATACCCCAGCCCTTTGTTTCAAACCTGGGTGGAAATTGTAAAACCCCCTAGTCCCCTTAACTGCCTTTGTGAGTGAAGGGAGCACAATGGATCTTTTGATTCTGCAGGATCTCGGAGGCCTCACAGCTTTCGTTCCAGCTTGAATTCTCACTATCTCAGACTGCAGAAGCAAACAGTGGATAAATTGGGCCTTTGAGAGCAAAGGGAAGAAAAAGATCCCTTCCTGGTGGCTTGCTATTTACGATCCACTCAAAGCTGAAGGCTGCCAAAATAAAATAAAATGAAGCAAAACAAAAACCTTCAAATCGATAGGTCAGCCTTAGTTAACTGTCCCGGTTGAAAGCGAATTAAATCATTTTTGAGAGTTTTCCTAGAGCATTTAGGATGATTATACGCTGCACAGTAATTGAGAACAGAGTCATTGAGGGTAAAAATTTGCAAGTGTTGAAAGGTTCTGGGGAGAGTCTTAAAGGAGGGGAGCGGGGGTGATGATTGTTGCTTTTAAGTATTTTCCTGGGGTTTTGCCCTATTTATAGTCTGGTGTTTAAGAGAAACACAATCCTCCAGGTTTCGGATGCTGCGCTTGGCTGGCCCTGACCTCGGGCCAAAAGCTTTCATCTTGAACTTGGCTGGTTGCTGTCATATTGGGCTCAGCTCTGAACTCCTGAATGTGGTTGTGCTGGGGAAGCGGGGTTAGGGCCAGAGAAGTGTAAGACACTGGGGAGCAGAGGAGCCAGAGTCCTGGGACAGAACCCCCAAGGGAGTCTTTGTACCAGCCCAGATGCTGGCTCTGTGGGGCACTGGCCTGAAGCAGTTGGCAGATCTGGGGTGAGAGGGAGAAGCGAGGTCGTGACTACCGGAAAGCACAGGAAGTAGCTCTGCTTCCTTCCCCGCTCTAGGGGTTGGAGGAGGTGGAGGTGCATCTG